TGGGAATCAGAAAGGGTGTGGGGTGGGGAATGGTACAATCACAGATTTGCATATGTCCTGTATGGAGTGCTGTGTAATGAGTGCTGCACTTCAGGATGGCTATACTGCACGGTGATGGGGGTTGAGTGCAGAGGGTAAGGGTCGTAGTTCTCAGGGCTGGTTGGTGAAGATACAGGTGTTGGAGGCAGCTGGTGGTGGTAAGAACCCGGATGTTGGGGAAAGTGAGTTGGAGGGGACATGGGGGCACAAGGGAAAGTTTTGGGACAAGGGCTGCAGGGGCGGGCGGGCGCGGTAGTGCTCCGCCTGCATGGCTACAAGCGCCTGGATAGAGTCCGCTTGGCGCTCCATGATGCTTAGTCGCTCCGTGCTTTGCTTCCGGTGCGCTGCATTTTCCTTGCGGATCCTGCTTTCGCTCTCCCTCCACTCCTGCGCTTTTTGATTCTCTGTAAGAGATTGATGCATCACTTTGTGTAGCATGTCTTCTTTGCTTTTTCGCGGTCTCTTCTGGAGTTTTTGCAGTCTCTCAGCCGGTGATAACATGGACGGCTGAGATCTCAAGGTTGCATCTGTAAAGGCAAAATGCAACACTTAACAGAGGCAGCATTGTTTATACCAGAGTAATGATTCCCCCACACTTAAGGAGGGCACACACCGTCTACACAATAGCATAATTTTCCCGTCCCAAAGAGAGCGCACATAACCCATGGGAGCCCCAAAATGGTGAGTAAGGGGGACTGATTGTTTCAGGGCTGTACTGTCCTTTGGGTTTCTGTGCCTTGGGGAGAGCCAACAGCTGCAGGGGGCACCTACACTGAACACTGTCCCAACATTTTCCACAGGAGTTTATCCTGGAAGATATCTTGCTGCTGAGGGTGACCTAGGAAGCAAGGGAGGGTCTTCTACTGCAATCCGGCTTCCGCCCTGGCCCATATGCAGCTTGCCTGTGTGCAGCAATGGTCCCCCCCGCCACTCGCGGCACAGTGGTGCGGACACGTTAACCTGACTGGGACAAGGACCACGGTGGCTCTCCCAATAAACCTGCGCAAGCGCATTGCACACGTTCTGGATGAGACTTTCGAAGAGATTACTGAGGCCGATTACCGCGATGTGATAGACCACATCAGTGCGCTATTCCGCATCTAGGCATGTATGCAGCCCTAACCCTCCTCTCCTGAAAAATTTCCTTCCCAAAAATAAAAGCCGCTTACCGGGAACCTGCTCTTCTTCTGTTTGTCCTCCACCAAGTACCGGCCGCTGCGACTGGCTACCTTCCTCCTGGCTTGAGAAGAGCTCCTGGCTGCATGCCTCCAGGGATTCCGGGGTGTCTACCCCCACCCCCACCCCAGCACCCTCACTCCCGCTTTCCTCCTCCTCCCCCCGCTCTGAAGTGTCCATGGTGGTGCTCGGAGTGGAGGTGGGGTCACCCTCAAGTATCGTTTCCAGCTCTTTGTAGAATCGGCAGTTCGAGGGGGAGCACCTGAGCGGCAGTTTGCCTCGCGGGCTTTGCAGTAGACATTCCGCAGCTCCTTCACTTTAATCCTGCAGTGCAGTGCATCCCGGTCATGGCCCCTTTCCATCATGGCCCTTGATATCTGCCCGAAGGTATCGTAATTCCTACAGCTGGAGTGCAGCTGGGACTGTACAGCTTCCTCCCCCCAAACACTGATGAGGTCCAGCAACTCGCCATTGCTCCATGCTGGGGCTCGTTTGGCACGTGGAGGCATGGTCACTTGGAAAGATTCACTGATAGCACTCCACACCTGGCTGAGCAAACAGGAAAGGGATTTTTAAAATTCCTGGGGAATATAAAGGGCGGGTCTGACGGTTGGTCACCTGAGGCCAGGGCAGTAGAGTTCGAACTGATGAGCAGAGTGGCTAGAACAGGGATTGTGGGATACTGCCGAATATTTCTGGAGGCCAATCAGAGAGCATTGGGCGGCCACACTGGCGCCGCAGCGGCAGCGCAATACTCTTTATTCCTCTCGGGGAGGTGGAGTATAGCCACGGAGATACAGTGCTGTACGTGCCTTGCCAGTGTGGACGGGGAGTGAGTTACAGTGCTGTGGGTGGCTTTATTGCGCTGTAACTCTCAAGTGTAGCCAAGGCCTTAGGCACTTAGCTCTCCCCATGCAGTGTGTGGGGAGCCTGGCACTCAACCTTGGGTTTGAGGATTCCAGCAGGCTACCCAGAGGTTAGGTGCTGTAATGCTGAGCATAGCAACATTAAGTTCAGCATCATAGTATTACTCCTAGATTTGATCATCTCATCAAGGATATTAAAGACACTCAGTTGCAAATTAATGGCTCAAACACACTTGCTTAAGAGAAGGCATGGTCTGACAACTGGAAGCCAAGAATTAAAAATTCTAATTTGGTTTAACCCTCCTCATATGGTTTTGGGCAAGTCACTTTAGCTCCGACTTAGTTTCCACATACCGTACATAGGATTCATTCCCATTCCCCACAAGGAGAAGGTAAGGCTTCTTAAAATGGTCTGCAGTTGAGAAGTGCTATTTTATTGATACTACTATTGAACACTCCAAAATGTGCTGTTCCGACGCCACAGTGAGTAGATAAAGTGAAACCTATAACTGTTTGTGCCTTTGTTACAATAGATGTCCAAAGAATCTCTCTTCCCTATGTAGTAACTAGATCAGACATTGCCATACTATCAAAGTGAGTGTCCTACACATCTTAAAAAACATTCACACATTAAGAGATATTCTAAGCGATAAATAATGTGTTGCAGATGCATGAAAGCAATTTTACAAAAGAAAAAAAGGTTTCCAGACATTTATTTCTGGAACTGTACACCAGGTATTAAAGTACAACAAATACAAAATAATGCTCAAAAAAATCAGTGTTTATGTACAAATATTAAAACCAATGCAACAATAGCGACTTCCTCTTGAACATCTGATACTAAAACTTGTTCCGATTGTCACTGGTTTAGGTCATTATACACAGGGTGCTTATTTCAAACTGGGAAAGGCTGGAATCACTGGTGGCGTAAGAGGGCCATAATCAGACCTATACTATTTTAAACAATAATTGGTAATTTCCTTAAGTGAAAAACATTAAAAAAATAGTAACCTTGTCATTTTATAAATTACTGTATTTAGTTTCCCCTTTGTAGATAATGTGCTTGTAACTCTGGGCAAATAGTGTCCCTGTTGGTCAGTTTATCCATTAGTTTACATTCAAAGTTGAAATATGCACTAGAGACTTTGGTTAAATTCTGTAGTATTACTATATTCTACTGGATCTGAAGTTTTCACACATTTTTGACCCTCAGTTTTAAAAATTAAAAACAGGAAACAATTGCACAATTCATTGACCTAATTGTACACAATTTAGTATTCTGCAAACAGTAATGTACATCCTTCAAGTAAATTCAGCAGTTTGACCATGACAAGAGGAAAACTAAACATTTAAAAATCTAGCATGAGAAGATGACATGACTAACAAAAGTAAAAGTATTGCTATAATCACAGCACCAGTTACACTTCTAAATGAATCAGCTATCCTCTTCAGATTCCCTGTACATAAAAGATACATCTACCAACACTGCAATTGCCCATTATGGATTTTTGGTTTGTTCATATGAAGAAAAAAAACGTGGCAAAGGACAAAGAATTCATCACAGTTTGTTACAAGAATTGTGCTTCACCATCTAAGAATCAAGGCAATAGAATTTCTTCATATGGTTGCAATTCAGTTATCTTCATGCTGACCCTCAAAACGCAATTCTTTTAATAAACAGTAACAAGTTCTCCATTTAAATGTTTAAACTGAGAGAAAAATAGGTAAGTCCAGCTTTTAAAAGAAAAATTCAATAAATAGCTATTTTACAAGGATAAAGTCATAGTGGTACAAATTTATGAATGTCACATCAAGCATGCACAAAAATGTTACTATACACAAGTAGTCAGAAAATATTGAAATAGATATCTAAAAAGATATGCAGAATGTACATTTTTACAAATCTTGCAAATTATTGCCTCATTTTAACAAGGAATTAAAAGTAAACGTTACCAGCTAGCTAGCCACGAGGCTAAATAAGATTAGAATTTAAAAATCTATTAGACTAGCCGGAAATCTTTTTTCTCTCATATCATTTTTCTGAATTTTGGTCAAAAGTCTTTATTAAATAACTAAAGTGTCCATTCAACTTGCCGACAATCCAAACTTTAGACAAGTCTCTGTCTATATTAAGATCCCAGCAATGCATAGATAAACTGAATATATTACTGCATCAGCTAATGAGAATGGGCATGTTCATTTAAGTGCAACTGGTATAAGCATTCAGTCATCTTTGTGTAATGATTTTTATACAGACCAGCCACTGTAAACCCATAGTTAAACTTGAATGTATAACAATGAAAAAATATGGCCAGTATTTTACAAAATTACATAAAAATGTGTTGATTCATAAACAAAAGAAACAAGGTACAAAGTTCAGCACAAAACACAGCAACAAGAAGCTGACAACTTGACCCTGTGTTGTACTCTGACATTTGTAGCCAAGGCTACCCGTTATTTACTGTGTACTTACTAGAATTACATATTTCAGATGTTTAAGTTAAAGAATTGATAACAAATTATCGCTAACTACTTTTGTCCACTGTGCTAAACTAATTTTTATGGTAAATGTGCTATTGCGTAAACAGTTCAAAGCAATCTTCATTACAATGCTGTAAAGAAAACTCGGGAGTACGCTGCATCCAAAAACTCAGGATGTCAATGCAGTTCACAGTATATATAATAAATACCCTCGCCCCTTTCAAATACTACCCAAAGTCTCTACTACTAAATTACTCAGCATAACCTTGAAGCAATTACTACAAATATTACCAATGCAGTCAAACTTAAGCATTTAAAAAAATGCAAGCAAATTAGTGGCAATTAAATCTGCATTACAGACAGTGCAAAGAAAAGTCTGAGTGTGTGTGGGAAAGTCTACTGCGATTCAATTGTACTGGGCTAAAATTCAAAAATTTTTAAAAAAAAAAAAAAAAAAAAAGCACAAACCTGAAAGTTGTATGCTCTGGAAGCATATCACATACCAATACTATGTTTTGTTGGAATCTGTAACACAACTTAAATAAAAGGGTATTAAATGGAATAATTTATGGTGACCCAAAATTTCATCTGAATATTCACCAAAAAATTGATTGGAATAAACAATTTTGAGTATGAGATGCATTTGTACTTCTGTCAATTCCCATTTGAGAAAAGTATTGAAATGCCATTTTGAGACAATGACTTGCCAAAAGAAATAAACACAATCTATGCTAAAGGAAGTTTTCAAGTGTATACTTCAAGGTTGTACTGCACTATATCAAAATCTAGATAGTCCCTCAAATGAACTGCAGTGCTCCAAACAATTTAAGGTGTGTCCCAAATGTAAACCATTTAGTGGTCAATCCTAAACCATGCAGACTGTGGCTTTATACATCAGCTGCCTCAGAAAAAAGTTGATACAAATAACTGGTGTTATTTATTACATTACACTCTTAAAAGTTGTGGACAAAACCCCATCAGAATACAATATTCTAAAATGTATTTGTTTAGCCAATAAGTTTAAGTACACAGAAACCTTCTGGCAGTATAATTACTTCTGTGTAAGGTAGCCATGGCCTATAATTTTGCAACCGCATCTAAGTGTATGTCTTCACACTTTGCTCATACAGTCCCTTGTGCTAGCTTCCACCAAGATGAACTCGCTGTTTTGTAAACTGAAGTGCCCTAGTTTAGTATCACATGAGAGAAGGTTCCATTAAAAAACATCCTTCTTTGTGCAGTTTAAATTAAAGAAACCCATCCCTGCCTTTATAAAAAAAAAAAAAATGCTACATTGAGCAGGAATCAGGATCTGTACCTGTAAACATTGTTATTCCACTGCATCTGTTACGGCAAAAGTAACTTAGACTAAAAAGCCACTTCAATCAGTTCACAACTTCTGTGCTGGTTTTGAGATGGTGACCTCTGTCTACAGGCTTTAAAAAAAATTGAAGCAGAGCTTAAAGCTGCACCAGAGTTCTCTTAATCCCAAACTCTGCCGAACATCATATGACATTTCCACACGTATGGATTGAAAAATGAAATTATTCTTGATAAATCAAGATATAGTTCTATACATACAAAGACATCACTGATGTCATAAAGTTCAAACTTCCAGTGAAAGACTAAGCAAACCTGACAGTTCCCATCAAGTCTGCTGCTGCATTAAGTACCCACTGTTTTTGTAGTTCACCACTGGAATCATTCTGAGTGAAGGGCAGTATGTTGGTGTAGAGTGTGGGCACTGATGAAACCATTTGTCTCATTTGCAGATAGACTGCTGAAGTCAGCCACTGAGACAGCCATTTTGGCACTGGTAATATGATGTGTGTGGTTCTCAAAGTCCACACCCAAGTTATTTACAGAAACATCATTCATAAAGGATTCAGGGACTGCAATCCCCATTTTTAATCTCTTGGCAGGTCTCTCTGACTCTTCACTGCACATGTTCATTGGGTTTAACTCCGAGTGATAAAATCCAGTCTCAAATAAATTAAAACAATCACTTTCACCATTATTAGGCAAGGTAAGCAACTCTTCTGTTACAACAGGCACATGATTAACTGGTGCTCGGGGTAAGCTGTCCAGAGGAGAAAAGGCATCTTCCAAGCAGTTCACATCTGTAGAGTGGCAGACTGTAGCTACACTATTGGTCAATGCTGAAAAAAAATGAACACAATTTAAATAAAAATAGACTTTCTTGAGGTACAGTTACAACAGAAAACAGTCTTTTAAACTTCAATATTGATTTTTCTTGATTTACCTGTCAAGTCATTGGCAGTGATAGAGTTCAGAATGCTGAGCTGTTGATCAGGAATGGGCTCTGTTCTGCTGTTAGAAGTTAAGGCTGAAGAATGTACTGCTCCACCAAGGGCTTCTGCTTCATCTACCAACCGATCCATATAGTCCCTAGAAAGACATCCTTATATTAGAGACAGGTGTGTGACTAGGAGATAGATTTCTTTAATCCAACATCACTGCAGCATTTCACCACCCTGATAAAAGTTGGAAAAAACTCTAGATGCAGAACTGACAACAGAAAGGATATATTCCAAGCACTCTGTACTTACGTGACCCCTGGATGATGGTTGTACCTCTTCTTTCCAAACCTTGTTTGCTGAGCAAAGTAATCATAACGTTCTGATTTCTTCCACATGTAGTAGAATGCTACACATTCAGCAACTGTTCTAGTTCTCACCTAAAAATGGGGCAGGAAGAATTAACATGCTTTTTTTTTAAACAAAGGAGGGGCAGGGGGAAAGGGGGGCAGGTTTGTAATACTCTCCATCTTCCCCATTCTCCTACATTCTCTTTAGTTATATCATTGCCATAGCAAGAGCAAGTTACATTTCTGATTAAGAGATTCTTCTAACAATATAAATTTGAAAAATGTACTATTTTAGATCCACTCGATAAAGCAATTTAATATGCTCAGCTATAGAAAATCCAGTTTTTTTTTTTTTTTTTAAATTAAGTTTTACATTGAGACTGTGTGTCCAGGACAAAAATTAATGTCTCAATCACAGTTCATAACTGCATATTTTGACTCTTCATAAATTGTTAAGCTAAGAAAAAAGGAGGAAAGCTAAGAGCAGTATGAAGAGTAATAAGCTAAAAGGGAAAATAAGTAAGGTATTATGGAAACTCTCCTTTTTGTAAGGTTAGTCAGCAGGGACTGCCCAGGCTCCGACAACAGGTGTGTGCAAAACTAGACTATTAAAATGGAAGTAGTCCTGAGAGATGGTCTAGATGATCCAAAAGATCCATTTTATCCCTATTATCCATGAATCTACATGGACTGTGCAATTTGAGGCTTCAAATACATTTGTTTCCCTTATATAAAGACAGGTCAGTTTCTGAGAGTACCAATCCTTAAGTCTAGCTAGGCTCTTATTCCATGTGTTATTCCTTCCTCTCCATCCCTCTACAGAAGCGTCCATCCTTCCATTTGAGGAGTAGATGGGTCTCCTTGCTGAGTGAGTCCACATCACCACTCCTTAGTCAAAAGAATTACTGTTGAATGACAACTTCACAGTACTCGACTTTCCTGCTAGCACCTTAGTGGCTGAGTCCTGCGTGGCTGCAGAACTCCAAGCCCCTGGTGGCTATGAGATGGATAGGCTAATTAAGGTATTTTATTATTTTGCCTCGTCTAGACTCAGAGAATGAATCCAGGGCAGTGCAAAGCCAGAGCAGCATGGAGTATAACACAACAAAATTATATTACAAATGCATAAATGAATGCAATGTGAATACTACACTATTTCAGAGACTAATAGGTTGACTGATCTTGAAAATGTTGACTGTTGAATGACGTTTGTGGTAAAGTTAGCATGCAAATGACAAGTCAGCTCTAATACATTGCCTCATATTTCACTGTAGGCACTGCTTCTGCTAAATTAGTTGCTTTTATAGATTTTAAGTGACTAAACTACCATTCTCTCCATCCAATTTAAGTACATAACACTTACCTTATTTTTCTGTATGAGATGAAAATCTTTCCCGTAAATCAGAAGTGCATGTTCAAAGTTTCTGCATTCTTCTTCTGTCCAAGCGGTCATCTCCTCTAGAGGATTCCCAAAATAAGAACAGCACTTATTTTCAGATAATTTCCATCAGAAACTGAGTTACAAACATTTGTACTGATAACATTCATGAAAATCCAAATGCACTTTGAAGAGCAACTGCTAAATTCTTTAGAATATGTCTTATTCTTAATACACTGAGGCCTCTAATTATACTGTTGGTTAGAAAACCGACAAGCTGCTAATCATCAACTTTGGATACACTACTCTGTTCACTGAATGATAAAGGATTGTTAGAGTTTCATTTATTATTATTATTTTTTATTTGTAGTCATCCAGGGCCAAGTGCACAAAAGGGCTTGGGCACCTAACTGCTCCTTTAAGTACCTAAATCCATCATTTAGGCACCACCAAGATCCCCAAAACTCTTAGCTGATGCCTGACCGTGGAGGCATCTAAAATCCTTAGGTGCCAGGAGTTTCCACCATTAAAGTTCCCTAGGCACTTAAGTTTCTGCCAGAGAGCATGCACACAGCTGCCTCAGTCTAAGCACCAATCTCACACCTAAATCCAAGGAGGATCTTCTCACCTGCAGGACCCAATCCAGTAGGCATTTTCAGAGCATGCCTAAACCCAGACAAAATTCCTGGGGGAGGATGGAGGTGGCCAGCCTTATAACCTTTAGCCCAGTGATCAGGACACTCACTTCAGATGTGGAGACACAGGTTCAATTACCCCTCTGCTTAATGTCATTTCCCCCACTTGGATTTTTCACCTCTTAGGTGTGACTGCCCTAACCGCTGACTGTGGGATATTCAGGTATGGGTCTCTCTCAATCTGTCCCATTGAAGCTGTTCCATTGTGTATAAATAATTAAATAGACATCAGACCAGAGAAAATCCATAGTTCAGTGATTAGCGCATGCACCTGAGAGGTGGCTTATCCAAGTTCAAATACATTCTCCACATGACGTGCAGGGTTTGGTGGGGAACTGAACCTGCGTTTCCCATATCCCTCCTGAGTACCTGAACTACTGAGCGAGAAGTTATAAGGGAGGCCACTGCCACCTCCTGCATTTCTTGCAAAAAACAAAAACAAAAAAACACCACTTAGGCATCTAACTCCAGGAAGGGGTTCACAGCTGAGACACCAAGCAGAGATAGATGCCTAACTACCTGAGAGGCTTAGGCCTCACTCCTCAGCATTTCCTATTGGCTAGTTTAGATGACTTCCGACTCAGTGGGCTAGCTTTTGTGGATCCCATTCTTAGCCACCTAATTCACCCCATGCATTGTACAGGGAGCCTGGGCACCTAACTTGCGGCTGTGCATTCCAATGGGTGGCAAGGTGCCTAAATATTATGTGTTGCAATGCCTATGTTCCTTTGTGGATCTGGGCCTAAATCTGCCAAGGTTTGAAAACATCACCAGCATGTGAAGCAGAGTATTTTTCTGCACTGGTTTCAAAGGTGTCTACTCTTGCAGGGTAGAAAGAACAACAGACCTTGGAAAATAGGCAAAGAAGAAACTGCTTTTCCATACATTTAATTCTGTAAAAAACTTGTAGTTCTTTTTACAAATTGGTAACAATGCAAGTTAGTGTTCATTTTCAACACGCGCACACAGATCAAAGGAAAAATCTGTTTTCCATGGAGTTTCAGATCTTTCTCTATTGTGCGCCTCAACCTAGTACTATAATACACAGTTTAAGATCATGTGGCTCAAACTCTATATAAGGATCATTTTAGCCTCCACTACCCTTGCTTTTTCAAAGTTTGATATTATTGTTACTTAGAATTTAGTACATAGTTTGCCATCATCACATTCCTGGGTTCTCACCTCCATTCTCCCAAAATTCAAACCACTATATAATAGCAGACATTCCCTGTTATGTCATAATTTGTTTTGATTTTGTTTCACGTTAAAGTATACTGGAAGAGGAGATATGTATTTACTTCATCAAGGAACAAGATAGTAGCAGACAAAACACATATCTGTACATTTATTATGAGGTAGTCTCAGTTATCGTAGTAATTACTGCTTATTGTTTTTAATGTCCTTTTTGTATCATTCAGTTACACAGTAAAACAAGAGCCTTTCAGCTTACAGGCAACACAAATGATCTCTTTGCCAAAACAAGAATTCCCTATTAAGTGAAATCTTAAGTTATTCAAAAAGTTGACCAATCAATGAACTCTTACACCGTGTCCTGCAGCTCACCAAAACAGGATTCTGGCAGAACAATGCAGGGAGTAGATTCCAGGGGTGCAGGCATTCCACTGAGACTGTCCTGACTGCCACTGAAACTTTAACCTGCCAGCAAGCCCAATACAGTAGGTTGAAATTCCCATTATAGGACCCTGGGAGTTTTTCATGCAGGGTGGATAAAAATCAATGATTAAAAAAAAAAAAAAAATCTGTTTTTTTTTTTTAAAATTGGATTTGTTTGATAAAATTATTTGAGGAAAAAACCTATCTAAAGATAGTTTTAATTAAGATACATTATAGCTGAAAGATATCTCATCATGGAATAGGAATTATAAATTCGAATTCTATAGTATGAGACAATATATTCATGTAATGTTTAAGAAAAGTTTTGTAAATGAATTCCAATAGTTCATGGATTAGGGACCCAATCTTATGGGGTTCCAGGGCTTCTGTATAGATTATTTAGGTTAATCTTTCTATCTACCCATTGGGACTCAGTGCTCAGTCTAGAAAAGACGTGGGCAAACTACAGCTCGCGTGAACCTCCTGCCCGGCCCCTGAGCTCCTGCCCCGGGGAGGCTAGCTCCCGGCCCCTCCCCCGCAGCCGGCGCAATGCTCTGGGCGGTGGGGCTGCGAGCTCCTGGTGCAGCGCAGCTGCAGAGCCCGGCCTGACCCGGTGCTCTGTGCTGCACGGCGGCGTGGCTGGCTCCAGCCGGGCGGCACGGCTGCCTGTCCTGGCGCCATGGGCGGTGCGGCTGTAGCGCCGCCAGCCACTGATGCTCCAGGCAGCACGGTAAGGGGGCAGGGAACGGGGGGGTTGGATAGAGGGCAGGGGAGTTCAGGGTGGTGGTCGGGAGTGTGGATAGGGGTCGGGGTGGTCAGAGGGCAGGGAACAGGGGGGTTGAATGGGGGCAGGGGTCCCGGGGGGGCAGTCAGGGGACAGGGAACAGTGGGGGTCGGATGGGGCAGGAGTCCTGGGGGGACATCAGGGGGCGAGAAGCAGGAGGGGTCGGATAGGGGGTGGGGCCGGGCTACGCCTGGCTGTTTGGGGAGGCGCAGCCTCCACTAACCGGCCCTCCATACAATTTTGGAAACCCGATGCGGCCCTCAGGCCAAAAAGTTTGCCCGCCCCTGGTCTAGAAGATACCATCAGAGATGCTTAGTTTTGCGGTTCTCAAACTGTGGATTTGTGTCTCCAGAGATAACATGCTTGTTAACAGCACAAATGTTTTTAAATAATTAATCATCATCATATATAGAGGTGAGAAATAACAGACCTCAACCCTATTCTCCATCTGCAAATTTGTGTACACAGAGTCAACACCTCCCTCTAAAAGTGCAAAGTTTCAAAAAGTTCAATGAATAGAAGATTGTTGGGGATCTGGACAAGGAGAAGAAGTCTGGAGATAAATGTGAAAAGGGAGGGACAAACAGTAGAAACAAAAGTGAAACTGTTTGAGCAGCATATTCCAGAAGTCTTGAGGTCTTTCTGAGTGTAGCCTTTATTGATTTGAGATCTACCATACCATTCTCTCACTAGAATGGAAAACCTATAATGGCAGCAGGCCGTAAAAGAGACCCAGTTTGGGAATATTTTAATGACGTTACTTTATCTGTGGGTAAGAGAGGCATGTGTGCAAAATGCAAAAGAGTGCAACAAAGAAATGCAAGGCCTGGTTGCCCGAATGAAACAACATCATGAGAAGTATTCCTTCTCAGGAGGAAGCTGTGTTGAAGACGATGAAAGGAACATCACTTTAAAAATGTATAGTGTGTACCTCCTAAAAATGAAACCTACATCTATCTCAGAGTTGTGAAGAATATGTATTAAGGTTATAACAACCAACAAGAATGCACTTTTATGCAGAAATCCATGATTAAATCGAGTCTTCCTGACTAGTGATTTAAAATCAAATTGATTTAAATCAAATCCACCCTGGTTCCATGGACTGAACACTGTCCTCTGATCGCAAACTGCTGCCACAAGTGTAACTTTCTTACCATGCAGCATCTTTTCACATTATTGGGTTTTAGTCTTACTTTGCAAAGCCTCACTGAAATCTAGGCTGCAAGCATTCCAATTAATAGGAGTTTATGCAGAAACAATATGTAGTGAACACATACACTACAGTGAAAATGCCTGTAATGCACAGAATACTTCTATTACATGATGTAACAACTATTTTATCCTTACCACACTCTTTACATATTTCTCACATTATGCTTATTAGCTAAAAAGTCTCACTGAAATAAATGATGGAATAATTGTTCATTTCAAATGATATAGTGCACAATACATAGTAAGAGCAAATACAATTAGTGGGACTACAAACGTGCCACATTACAAGATTAGGCACTAGAGCTGTAATAGGTAACTTGGCAAGGATACCATATTTGCTAGGGTCATCAGAACGCTTTTTTGAAACTGTCCAAAAGCCTTAGCTGACTTCAGGGACTACCTCCTGAAGTTTGGTCTGTGGAATGGCAAAAACATCCTCATCTGAAACTTTAAGGAAGCAGGACTGCTTATAATGGGTCTTTTTAAAAACGAAATCACTTTAACTTCATTTTTCTGCATTTCCACAGCCTGCTTTAGGGCTCAACCCTGCATGGTATTGAGTGCTTTCAACTTCTTTTTAAGTCTATGGCAGTTGAACGAGATTAGCACTATACAGAAGATGTTTCTGCAGTACCAAGCCCCAAGTTTGCCTTTGCTTTCATCTGTGCATAGGGTGAAAGGGAACTACAGGGAGTGAAAGACCGACCCCCCCGTTATCTTTATGGATCAGCTCTACTAACTTTTAAGGAAAGCATAAAGGCTGGGGACAAGAGATGGAAAACACAAACCAACCTATCCTACTACATAGTGGAGCTATCTTGTGCTGATGAAATACATTTAGGGTTCAGTACAGGAAAGGGTGGGGCCACATCACAGAGCCAGCTATGGTTTCTTGATTCTCAAGCAGCCTTGGCATGAGTTAGAGTAGCCTGTAGTCTGCTCTAACTTACGATAGCTGGCTCTGATCTCAGCAGTTCTATAAACCTGCTGAGAAATGCCAGAGGGGAGCAAAGTGTTGCTGTGTTCCACTTCCTCCCTACCCCTATCAGAGTAGGGAAGAGTGGTAACTGTTGGTGGAGTAAGAACTGGCTCTGCCATCTTTGCACCCGCTGTGAACTCGTCCAGTAGAAATTCCCAACTGGCCAGCTACAGTCATGTTACTTCCACTTTGTTCCATTCAGGTGGTGAAAAGGGTGATGACCTAGGGCTGAGAACCTGGTCTCAGTATTTCTGTACATTACAACTTTGAAGAGAGTCTTAAAGTATTCCCTACTATTTCAGAAATCTCTTACCTTGAGATGCCTTTCCATTTGAGCAATACCTCTCAATTGCTTCTTTTATATTATGGTTACATTTGAGTAGTTCATAGAGTGCCTATGAAATTAAGGAAATATTTTTGTTTAAAACAAGTCGTTTAAAGTTTGTAGCTAAGCAGTTTAAGGTACTGTGTCTAGCTTCAATGATCAAATTGCATATCAGTCAATTAATTTTTAACCATATAAAATTAAAATTTCATAAACAAAATAAACTATTTAAACAAAGTTACGTACCACTTAATATACCACTTAAAATAAGGTTTCACAAGAAAATATAAGTGGCTATCTAAAGCTTGATGTGAGTTATACTGAGAACTGTTTGTTAAGAACATAATCATATACACATGCTGCATCACAAACATTGATATTATAGACCCCAATCCTGCCAATCCTTATTCACGTGCTTAATTAAGTACTGGCAGGATCAGAGTCTTACTTTGCACTTCCTGTGGAAAAGAAATGTTTGACTATTTTGTTACCTGTTGCACATACGCATAAAGAGAACGCACACTAGTTCAAAGGCAATGTGTCACAAATGGATAGGATATAAAACATACTTGTTCATTGTCTCGTGTGTGTATTCCTTCAGGAATTCTTCCAATATTTTTTTCATTTCCAGTTCTTAACGAGGTCTCAAAAAGGTATTCTTTAACCTTAATCTCTGAAACCACCTCAGGTCTCCAAAGTAACTGATCATCATTTTCATACACTGTTAAGAGGAAAATCCATTGAGATACAAATAAGGTTGTGTGAGTGAGAGCATGCACACCTATCCTGGTGTTTTTGATACTGTAGACCAAATATCAGCAGATGTAAATTTATATGGCCCCACTGAATTTATATACTTTAGTTTCTGACACAAATGTTTTAGAACTACGACATAAGAAATTAGCAGCTTCCCCAAAGATAGAAAACAAGAAAGTAGCTGGAGGTAATCAAATCAAACATACTGATAGCATCATGTCACATGCACAGACAACACCCCCCCCTCCCTTTCCATATACCTCACTGAAGAGATATGCCTTGCACTGTGCCACAAAGGTGAACAGATTCAGGCTATATTGGAACAAGGAGGGAAGGGACTGAATTCTAAGAACAAGGACCTGTCCAAAAATCTACTGGCCACTAGAGAATTCAAATCAAGAAATTTATGCATATTTACATATGACAAAGTTGGGTGTTTTATAAACTAGTGAATATAGTCACATCTCTGTTTGCTTAGAGTTGCACACAATCCTTGAAAACAGTAAAAAAGAATAAACCAATAAATGAGCAGTAAAAAATATGAATTTTAGCACTACATTTATTCCTCAGTCAGTTCAAACACTTTCCATGCTGGAAAAAAGCAAGTGACTAAGCAGTCACTGTCTTCAAAAAAACTTGTTGCTATATATTATTAGAAGTGCTGATCTTGATGCTAATATTGGGATTTCTGGCTCAAATAGTCATCAACTACTAAAGTAAGGGACATACATGTTCTGTAATGAGTTTGGGTTGTGCATTTATACATCTTTTGTCAAATCACATTGGAAAAAATCTAATATGCAAGTAAGTGGCTTTTATAAATATCTTCTATGTATATCAAATAACATGAGACATGACTTGAACATTAATTATCGTTAGCAGCAAACATTCAAATTTCAATCCCTGCTATTAAAATATTTAATATTACGAACAGACATTTTTGACATTACATTTAACATGTCATACAGTCTGCAGACAATGCAAAATTAGATAAATTATCTGATCCACGGCAGTCAAAGGAATCAAAGGCTGGTACAGGCCAAAAGAGTGAGGAGGATCTGCACCTCCTACAACGAGAAGGAATTAAAAAAACAACCCTTTTCACCTTATAAGATACTGTTGCTGCCCAAGAATAGAAGATCCTTTCACAAACAGTAACGTTACAAGACTGAATTTAGAGCTGTCCCAGGGAACACAAAGCCCAAGCCACCAGAATCACCGCTGCTTTTGTCACTGTTACCAAGGATGTACATTTCATGTACTTTTAATTTCTAAAATGAAATCTTAGGAAAGGTCAGGAGTTTTATTAAAAACAAAAAACCCATAACAAGACTACTGTAATATTACAGCTGTATAAACCTCTCAGCTGTTCTCTCCTTCACCCTATCCTTAGGACTTTCCAGATGTCATTTTTCCCTCTAAACAGCCAAACTACTTAGCACTATATTCAACTGTTTTAAGAAGGCTGTATTCCCCTATCATTGTATTTAACTTTAAATTGTTAAAAGTGACTCCAGAAAGGAATAAAAACAGAGTTATAGACAAATGGCATAATGGAATCGGAAACACCACCAAAAGCACCCACAGGCTTGTGTTTGATTAGATTTGTTTTCTGATAGAATTTTACAGGTAAAAAAGGTCATTAAAAACAATTTTGAAAGTGTACAGAAAAAAATTAATACCATCCAGTTATTGATGCACTCTACAATCAGTTCCAAGATTTCCTGATGTATCTGGAAGTGAGGAAGTTTCAGTTTTAATACTTACCTTTTCTGAATCCTACAGCTATTTACCATCCAGAAAGTTGGGGCAGAAAGGTATTCAGATAAAAATCTCATCTAAACTGAATAAATCCACTCTTTTTTCCTACTGAAACTAATTTTTACCTTAATTTAGGTAGAGACAGACTCATGCAACAAATGGAATAAAGAAAAACACATTTATAGAATGATCACAGGATTTCTCTTTCCAAAACTACTCGTCCAGTAAAAGGAAATTATTTAGAACAGAGAGTTTGTTGCTTAATGTTTTTCTGCAGCAGTTTTGTATCCCACAAAGCTATGCCATTCTAAAGGCAATACAATAATATTCTTTGGTTATGGCTGAAGTGCCTGACCTCTCTAAAAGAGAAGCAAAGATGCTCTTTCTGAAGGTCACTGAATAATGGACCTCATAGTCAATTTCAGTTTGCATTTTCTGTGGGTAACAAAATCTTCCTGGAGCCATTTTATGATTTGGTCTAGTATTATTATCCTTCCGGTTTAATATCTGATTTTTCTTGTTTCTCCTTTTCTATGAGAATTTTATCCCCAAAGTTATTCATTGGAATTAAATATTACAATGAGATAATTTAGTTGCACTGTTTTGTCTTCGCTACTATTGTTATAACTTCTGAAGTCAATTTTTGAACCTCGTTATTTTTAAGTAATGTTTAATATTTTTATGTAACCAAGTAGAAGTAAAACAGAAGAACTTACCCTTTTCATCATCACTGTACTTGCCCAGGTAAGGTGGTATTTCAGCCTGATACTGTGAACCAACCATTATTTCCTGAAGGTTTAAAACAAAACAAAAAAAATCACACACACACTTTAACTTTCCACTCAAAGACATATGAGCATTAAAAATGTCAATACAAGATGCATTTGATTCCAGGATTAAAGCACTGTCTTAGATACAGTTTGTTTTTATTTCAGATTCTTTTTTTATGTAAGAAAATTCCACTGAGATTTATTATATGGAAGTAATTAATACTTTAGTTACCTTCCTCAAATCTTCAGATGAATTACCAGTGTCTGCCTCAACATCTTCACCATCCGATTCCTTATCTCCATCATACGTAGTGTTTGCTTTATATGCACCAAAACCAAAACCAAAAAAAAAAAGTATTACTTAGCAGTATTTTACAGTTTGCACATAGAACTACAATTGCATCTGTTTTGCTTTACTTTAAAAAAACTAAACAAGAGCATCTGCTTTCATTTAGAGACAATGGTCAATGGTCTTCTTAATAATTTGCTTTTCTGTGGAACTGCAGCATAAAAGTTAAACAGTAGAAGGTACTATATCTGCAACTGAGAGCGTTAGAAATGGATAGCTGACTGTCAAAGGAAATAAGATAATTTGTCTCAAAGGCACTGCAAGTATAGGTCTGGGGAACAGCAACAGGAAGATACTAGTACTACAATTTAACCCCCAGTTACCACAGCAAAGTAATCTGAAAGGCAATTGTTCTCTACACTGTCCATTTAAAATTCTGTTATCCAACTGTTTCAGGGACATTGAGCTAAACAAGTATTATCAATTTGGAAAGAAGTACGAGAGAAGATGTGGTAGAGATATAAAATAATGAATAGTAGATTAAAAGAAAGTTGATTGTGTGCTCCTCTTTACCCTTTCCTGTAAACGGACAAGAGGGCACTCCAAATAAAAGCCAAATTAATAACTGGGTATTTGTCAAGAAATTAACCCACCATATATTTTCTGTGATCACAACTCAATTGAAAAGTATCAGATTCTATAGCTGAATCATCAGTAATGTCAACAAAAAATGATACCCTTAGAACATCCTGCAAAGTGCCAGTGTTCCTCAACTTCCAGTTAAATCAATGGTGTCAGCACCTCCCAGGATTGGGCCCTAATTTTGTAACTAGACAATCTTTCTATATATCTATACAGCACTCAGAATGTTTCGGCACTACTACAGCATTAGTTTTCTTACATCTTAATGGTCGAGGAAAGAAGTCTGTAGCTTCATGTGAAGTAACTGATGGTGTCAAGTCATCAGCAGAAGACTGTGTTTCTTCGTCATCACCTGACAAGAGGTCTTTAGCTATTTCCTCCTGTATCATTAAAGAAAGAAAATCAAAGAATTAGGACTAAGTATAGGTTGGTGAGCCTTTGGAACTAGCAAGTTTGAGGTTCTATTAGCAAATACATTATCTAACTTTTAACCAAAATTTATTCTATTCTTCTACACTCCCCAAAAACTTAAACACAAAAAAATCAGAATCACATTCCTAAGATTTTTGAAGTATAGAAACCAAAAACAGTGTGAAAGTGGTTTTTTACCACTCACTCCAGAGCTGACTCTGAGGTTCTTCATCCTGACCTCATTAAAACCCTTGGGAGGTGGGAGAGGGGGTTGGGACAGAGTTGACCTCAGTGAAAAAGCCCACTGGGGATTGCCCCCAAACCTGAAGCAGCCCAGGGATCTCTGGAGACCCTGTGGCTGTGCATCAACTTGGCCCATCTGGAGTTTCCCCTCCTCCACTGGAGCTGCACTACCAGGAACTGATCACTAACCATGTCGTCCCCCAGAACTCTCTGGAAGATTTAATACAGCCCAGAACCATATTTCTTTTTCATAGGGTTCTCTGCAGGACTGCACAAAGGATGATGTGAATCCTGTTGTCCTGCCCCACTCAGTCTCCTTAACAGTGAACAGCAACTTCTACAGAGTTTGTAGATGCGTCTGAGCCTCCCTCTTCCACACAGAGAAGTTGGAGAGGAAGAACTGCATGTGGATATGCATCAGGTAACAATCCAGACCACATTTTTTGTAACCATACGGTAACACTGAAATGTGCATCCTAATGGGACTCTAAAATGCACAGCAGTCAGTTTAAACGTTCAGGAGAACTGGGAAAACCATCTCCAAGAGTCACAATTTAAAACACTGAAGTTTCAGGTTTTATACCAGTTGCATAATACACACAGTCTCTGCATATATGAAAGTTTCTCTCTCACCTCCACAAATCTAATACTTTTCTTATCCAGTTGAAGGGAACGCTCCAAAGTATTCAGGAGCAAGTTTTCAAATTAACTGTATATCCACAGAAATTTTGATACACTGTATATATATTAGTTGAAGCCATAAATATTAGTCTCCAGCTTCACACACACACACACAACTGAAAATTCCAAATTTAACTTTTTAAAAAGTGATATTAAACAAAATAAAACTATAAGTCTTTAACATTACAAATGACTCAAGAACTTCTACTTTCTTTTATACTCGTGTAGCATCAATAACTTTAATGAAATTGTGCCTCATTTACAAATGTACTGTAAATAAGTAAAATCAGAGTCAGATTCTCAATGTCCATTAAGAAGACTAGTGTGGATACTTTGCATTCAGACTAATAGGTGTCAATAACTTTTGTATTACCAAGAGAAAGACAAAGATCACACAGGTTCCTAGTTTTAAACTTAAATACAGAGAAAAATGTTTTTGACTTACTTTGTCCAGAGTCATATCTGGCAGTTCATCCGCAAGTTCACTTGGGGAGCTATCTGCACTGGAACCTGCTATAACTGGAATTGTAGGTTCATAGCCATAGAAAGCCAGTAAATCTTCTAAAGGCATGCTTCCTTCCTAATATAAGAAAAGTTATAAATATTTAACATTTTAGTATTGTCAAATACTACATATTGTTATACAAGCATAAAGGAACAAGATTAATTTTGAAATAGTTTAACAATGAATTTAAAAGGATTATAACTCTCCAATTCCAAAAAGAAGAATACTGCCTTTTTAGAAAAAAATTGAATACGTATTTCAAATTTTTTTTCACACATGACTGAATTTGGCTCATAATCATGTATTTAAGGCACTTTCAAAATCTGTTTCAAATTTCTCTGAAAATTATTTACTGGATATATACAAGAGAAAGCTTAGAAGTAAATATTAACTGAATATAAAAACAGTTTCTAATCATTTGATCCAGTGTAAAGTATGATTGACTAACATTTCTTTATGATATCAGATATATTAAAAAAAATATGAAATAGTGAAGCAGGAAGCAACCATATTATCAACTTGAAGACTTACAGTGTGGCAAGATGTTATAATCACAGCTGCAGCCAGAGACACAAAAAGAAGCCAGCAACACATTTTCACAGCAATTGTAAGTTTTTGCTTCTACCCACCCCCAAAAATACTTTTTATACTGACTTCCCAGTTTTTTTGTTTTGGGGAAGTAAGGAGGAGAAAATAGGGAGACTGACAAGGAGGGTAAGCTGAGGAAGAACTGGGGAGGGCAACTGCATACCAGCAGCTTTTGATAATCCCGTCTTGTTACATGTCATCAGGCTGTATTTCCTATTGCATTAATAATGTGGCAATTCCCAGGCATTATTCAGTTGCCTGATTCATATCAGTGGAGATACTTGAAAATATTTTCAAGTCTTTATAAATATTGTTTTAAAATCCTTGTTGAACTCACATTCTGATTAAGTGATTTTTTTTTCTTGTAGTCATCTAAGGCCCCAGCAAAGACTTCTCACAGTGAGTACAGTTAAGCACGTGCTTAAATCTTTGCAGGATTGTGACCTAAAACAATATATCCTTTAATTTATTGGCACTGATTCTCTCTCTTCCAAAATAGCAGCAAATAGTGCTAATTTTGTGGAGTAATAGTTTACCAAGTGTAGTTTTTAAAACCATGTTATTTCTGATTTACAACTGCATGTATGAAACCTACAACAAAAACTGGTAATTTCTAAAGGGTAGAATTGGTGGTATGGAAGCCTACCAATGTGCAGTGTTGTCCCACATACAGCAAATACAAACTTACACTATTAAACATATACAGCCAATTTCAGATCTGGTGTTACCAGGTGCATCTCCCTGGAAATCTCTGGACCAAATTCTGCAGCTATGTGAATGGTGCTATAAGCAGCTCAGCAAACAGCAGTATAACGATCATCAATTTGGCATTCAGTGGATGTGCAAAATGGGTGACACACAGACAAGGAAGAAGATGGGGTGTAACAGGAAAAGCAACTAACAGAAGAGTGTAAAATAAAGCAGAAGGGGGCCAAGTTATTTTGCACATTTACAGAATGGCAAATTGATGCAAGCTAAACTCACTTACACCCATTTTCTGCCTCAGAACCACCATTAATTTGGCCCATCATACTTAAATAAGGCTATGGAATAAAGCAATTGACGGTAAGAATGAAATCATGGCTATGATAAAATAGTTCATACTGCACTTAATCAATATTCTGGTTTGAAGTGAAGCTAGTCCTCATTAAATACTATTTGTGGTGTATGATTTTAATATATTTCCCACTTAATAAAAACAAGAACTGATACAGTGGTATCAAATACTATAAACACAAGACAAACTTGTTCCATGGGTGAGTAATTTCTCTTCCAAAGCAAAAGCACTATTGTCATATTAATTAGAAGGGAAGTACTTTAAATTAACACAGCTCTGAAATCTTTGGAACTGATCAACTGAGTTCTGTGGTAACTTCCAACTGAAGATCCACCCACATATATCCAATAGCTAAATCTGACTATTTTATATTGGCTGCAAAGACATTTACTATTGTTTCTATGGAATTTACTTAAACAAGATAAATGAAAGAGAAGGTAGAATGTCCTTTGTATTTACTAAAGTAAGTACAGTGTAGCTGTATGATTAGGAAAAGGTAAAAGCCCCTCTCCTACCTTTTCTAAATCTTCAATTTCAGAGTTGAAGTTTTTGCCCTCCTCCATCATTTCCTCCTCTTCAAGAGTTCTCTCATCATCATAGTCATGTACCAACATTTCAGCAGTAGGGTCAAAATCATGATCCTCAGAAGATAAAGAACCAACTACAAGAAAAACAATATGAATCACTTTACCAACATACAAAGCCATACTATAATCAAAATAAGATTGTGTACATTCTTTTAAATGAAAGGTCAATATTCTCTAGAAACACCTCTACCACGATATAATGTGACCCGATATAACACAAATTCGGATATAACGTGGTAAAGCAGCACTCCGGGGGGTGGGGGGGGGGGCAGGGCTGCGCGCTCCGGCGGATCAAAGCAAGTTCGATATAATGCAGTTTCACCTATAACACGGTAAGATTTTTTGGCTCCCGGGGACAGCGTTATATCGGGGTAGAGGTGTATAGAGTAAGAAACAAGTTTTAAAGTGGCTTTAACTGGGTCTCCATTTTTGTACCTGTAAACTGTAGGTGCAATTTTGTGCTCTGCAATTTGAGCCACTTGGCGGTCTAAAGAGATTACGTTGAAAGTGATCAAATTAGGTCATTTTCAGAAAGTCTAGTCATATCTACACATTTTATTGTGTATAAGATAAGAACCACGAGATTCTTAAAAACATGTCCAAAATGAGCATAACAATGTAAAATATAGTTCTGACACAAGGTCTTAGATTTGATGCTGTAACTAGAAGCAGAATGTCGCTTGTGGAGCCTGTCTTTGACAAGAGACTAGCATATCTTTTCACTGAATAGAATAGCCAGCCTAGCTTCAAAGCTGTTCTGATGAATCAACTTTCTTCTAATAGCAAAATAAGAATTGAGCACCTATGTCAGAAGAATTTAGTCCCATGAATGAGATGTTTCATTAAAATTCAATTGCATTCTATGTAGTTTATTCAGAATGGAGAAACAAACTCCACTGGAGTTCTAATTCTCAAATAAGATACATGAAAGATACAGAACAAGAAACGGACTACATTCATTTATTAATTTCTTTGGAATATAATGTAAGTGGCAACTATCTGGCCCAACAGAAATTGCTACATTATTTAAGTGGCTACCTACAGTCTTTTTTTTTTTTTTTTTACAATTCTGTTGCTTTGCATTTTCTAATTTAAATACATTTTTATGACAATATTAGAAAGGAAGCCATTAGATTTAAAACATTTTTAAAAAAATAAGTATTCTACACCACAAGACTACATTCAACATCACAGATTACTGAAAGAAAGAAAGAACTTAAAAATTTAACTGTTCACTATTCTATTTACTTATTGCATTCTTTCAGCTAGGGTAGACAGACTAGCCAGATACACTTTCTTTTCCATTCAGTTTCACTTTCAGGTTCTTTTGCACTAGCACTATGCTGTAACTTTTAGATCGCAGAAAGTGCCCAGAAATATTTTTGGTAGGAACTGATTTCCATATGCGGTTTTGATTTTAAATTTCATTGAAACATCCATATTGGTCCTAGGTTTCATAAAAACACACACCATACTTCTGGGTTCAAAGGCAAAGTCTCATAATACTAATTTTTAAAAGATCCTTCCCTTTATTGCTAACACTTAAGATTTTTAAAGCATTTAATTTCTTGTTCACTTTCTAGATTTAAACATTACTTTCTTTTTCAACATTATTTTCATTATCCAGAAATAAAACAAACACTCAATTTCATTTTCCAGTTCTCACTAGAACAATATTGTTTGAGTTCACAACACTGCAGGGAAACATTTCAAACCAAAAGTTGTTCCTTTTATATTTTAAAAAAAGCATCCATTAAAACTTGACAATTCGTATTAGGTCTTGTAGAACTCTCAAAATCTACAGAGCCTAAAACTAGTTGATAATATCCTTTTAATTATGATAACTACATTTACATGTTGCATTTTTTAGTTACATTATTTAGACACTGCTCCCACAGCTTCTAAAGAAGTATCCAGATACATAATTGTTAAATAATAATTTCAACTATAAGATGCTGTACATTATGTATTCTGAAAACTACACTTGCTAATTACTGCACTATGTTGTTTTACATTTGTTTGTATAACTAAAGTGGAAAGTGTATTCCATTTACAGTCTTTAAACAAAAATATACCATTTACTTAACTAACTTGGAATATTCAATGATCTGACAAAGTATTTTTATTCAGATATGTAAACATTTTATTTTAAATTAATAAGTTAAAATGCAGCCAATTAAATTGTAAAGACTAGTTTTTGTTATCAAAGATGAATTACTATTTGAGCTCATCTGGAGAATGACGATTGCTCAGGAACAAAAGCAAAATAAGGTCCCAATCCTAAAAACACTTATGCATGAACTTAATCTTACACATAAACAGTCCTATTAAAGTCAGTGGGAATAGCTGCATGTGTAAAGTTAAATGTTTATACATTTGTTCAGGATTGAGGCCTTAAATGGGGGATAAATAATAATACTTAATATTAAGGTTAAGAAGAAAGACTAAGTAATAACTGAGAAGTGTTTGAAACTTGTTAATAACTAGTATCAGAATTTTAGGAGCCTGTAGTTAAGGGATATCAGTGAAGTGGTCACTCTCTTAAGTCTACATATTTTTATTAAGAAGTTGACTTCCAAAAGTTAAAAAAAAAATCAAGTTACACAAGGATAAATTATTGGGCAATTAGTTGAGACTACAGATTTGGTGAGCGAACTGTTCTACAACACACTCCATCTGTTATTAGGCAGCAAACTGGAGACATGGAAATAAAACATTTAAAGTGAACTAACTGGGGGGGATGGAGGGGGAACTTTGTAAAGAAGTAGAAAAAGTTTGTGGTGGGTCTTTCACAGAAGCACCTGCAACCCAGCCCCTACCAAACGCTACCCAGCTGTTGGGACCATAGAATTAAGTAAACAGGACAAACCTGGGCTCGAACTTCCAAAGGAAGCCTGGAATATAAAGGAGAAAGAGGAAGAGCTGTTAGATAGATGCGCTGCAACTAGAAATCAGGGAAGGAATCCTACAGCTAGAATACCAGGTAGGTTTCTCAATCATTTCAAGTTCCCTGTCTCTCCGCATCAGTCTCTCTCTGTGAAGGAGTCTCTCTGTCCTTCTCCCAGTTTTCTTCTTCCTCCTCCCCTCTATCTCCTGTCTCTCCCCATCCCCCTAGGGTAGACGCCTCATTTCTCCTTCTCAGCGCTTTTCTTCCGTCCTGCGCCTCCATCCCAATCCCCGCTGCCCCAGTCTCTCGCTTGCTGGCTCTCCTCCGCCACATCTCCTCTCTTCCCTCTCCCCGGCCCGGTCCCCTGAGAGCCCCCGGAGAACGAGCCCCGTCCAGCCACCCCAGCTCTCCCGGCCCGGCCGGGAGGTGACAGGGGCAGGGAGTGACGGAGGGAGCCAGACCGGCCGCCGCCGCCTCCTCCGCGCACCCCAGTCCGGGTCTCTCTCCTCCTTCCACCGGCCAATTCCCCCTACCCCTCTCGCTAGCCGCTGGGGCCCCTCTGCGCGCCCCCCGGGGCTCCGGCCAGGGAACCAGCCCGCCCCGGCCGTGCCCGGGGCCTGTCCGCCGCCCCGGGGCTGGGACCCGGCACCCCGCTCCGCAGAGCGAGCGGCCGCGGCCTAGTCGCGCAGGCTCCCGCTGCCCTGGTGCGGACGGCTCCGCCAGCCCCCAGGCCGCCCCCGGAGCCCCGCTGCCGGCCTCCCGTCTCCGGAGGGAGGTTACCGGGCCGGCGGGACCAGCGCGAGCGGCCTCCCCGCGGCGGGGCCCCGCAGCGAGCCGGCCGGACCCCAGCGCCCCTGCCCGCTTTCCCCGCTCACCTCCGCCATATTGGGACCGCTCGGGCTGAGCAGTAGCGCTGCGCCAAGTGCCCGGATGGGGCCGCTAAGCCAATGGCAGCCGGAGCCGGAGCTGGAGCCGCAGACGGCCAGGGAGGGAGAGGGGAGGTGGCGCAGAGCCGAGGGCAGCCCCCAGGCACCCTCCTCCTGTCCTCTCCAGAGTCTAACCTCACCCCGCCACAGAGGGCGCTGGGCGCTCCCCGCAACGCAAAACAGGGAGCTGTCCCGGGACCGCCCCCCGTCCCACCCCCAGAGGGTGCTGGGTGCTCCCCACCCCACAACACGGGGCTGTCCCGGGACTCCCCTGCCCCATCCCCAGAGGGTGCTGGGTGCTCCCCACCCCACAACACAGGGGGCTGTCCCGGGACTCCCCTGCCCCATCCCCAGAGAGTGCTGGGTGCTGCCCACCTCACAACACGGGGCTGTCTAGACTTCTACCCCATTCCAAGAGTACATTCCCCATTCCACAATACAGGAGCGCTGCACAGCAACCTGTATCTCATCCTGAGAGGGTGCTGAGCGCTATCCATCCCACAAGGGGGGCTGCTCACGGACCCTCCTGAGAGAACGCTTTTCACCCCACAATACAGAGGGTTGTCCAGATCCCCCCTAGCCCATTCAGAAAAGGCATTTTCCATCCACAATATGCAGGAAAGCTGCCCAGGCACTCCTCTCCCATCAGGAGAAGAGAAGGGCCCTCCTGTCTTCCACTGTGTGATCCATTGAGAGAGGTCTCCTTTACACTTTTCCTGGGTAAAGCACAAACACTAATGAGTGCTGCTCATGTGCTTGGGGGGAGGAGATGCATATAGGTGAGTGGAAAACACCCCCAATTTGGTAGACTTAATGTACCCTCTCTACACACATGCACGTCATACATCATTTGAAAGCTTATTAAGTCTACTTAAAGATGAGATATGATGTGGCGCTGTAAAGTGATGCCATTACCATAGAAAAAGAAATAATGACACCATCAACACATTAAAATGACCACTTTCAACTTGCATTCCTTCCTATTAACATAATGACTCCATGCATCATTTCAAGACATAACATTGGATTTTTTTGTGACCTCAAAGCATCACAACAACAATCTAAAGGGTACAACGAAATCTAATAATAAATTTATATAGGTGTCATTGAAATGTAATAGTGCTGGTGACATTTTTAGTCAACATCATTATCATCATCAAATTCCCCAGATTCAAAGGCACTGTGTACTTTTTCAGGGAGATTTAACATGTCAATAATGTAGACTGGTATCTACATGGTTTAGTTGGTCCTGTTTGTAGTAAAGAAGTAGGGTGTGTGTGTGTGTGTGTGGTTTCCAATCATCCTCTCACTTTGCACAGACATTTAGAAGTAGTATCTACATAACCTGGAGAAAATGATCCCAGAACTTGAATGTAGGAGATGGGACATACCCCCCATATTTGGAGTCCTTGTGGCACCTTAGAGACTAACAAATGTATTTGGGCATAAGCTTTCGTGGAATATAACCCACTTCATCAGATGCAACAAATAAAATAAGCTTATAAATAAGATTATGCCTAAATAAATTTGTTAGTCTCTAAGGTGCCACAAAGACTCCTCGTTGTTTTTACTGATACAGACTAACACGTCTACCCCGCTGAAACCTACCCCCATATTTGAAATGTCTCCAGTAGTGGTAACATATGCTGAGTTACAGCATCATTAAGCTCTTTAATGATGTTTGCAAACTCAAACACCTTTTGAGTGTCAGCCAATGTTTGTCAGACAAATGCTGGAATTACCTGAGTACCTCCTCCCTGCTCTATTCCTGAGGGATTCTGCACCAAAAAAAAATAAAAATTCTGCACACAATTTTAAAATTCTGCAAGTTTTATTTGTCGATAAATAAATGTGGCAGCTCCAGCATGGCAATGAGTAGAGGCCACAGGCTGCATGGAGGTGGGAGATCATCCTGCAGCCTCCCCTCCCCTTTCATAGATTCATAGATTCTAGGACTGGAAGGGACCTCGAGAGGTCATCGAGTCCAGTCCCCTGCCCGCATGGCAGGACCAAATACTGTCTAGACCATCCCTGATAGACATTTATCTAACCTATTCTTAAATATCTCCAGAGATGGAGATTCCACAACCTCCCTAGGCAATTTATTCCAGTGTTTAACCACCCTGACAGTTAGGAACTTTTTCCTAATGTCCAACCTAGACCTCCCTTGCTGCAGTTTAAGCCCATTGCTTCTTGTTCTATCCTCAGAGGCTAAGGTGAACAAGTTTTCTCCCTCTTCCTTATGACACCCTTTTAGATACCTGAAAACTGCTATCATGTCCCCTCTCAGTCTTCTCTTTTCCAAACTAAACAAACCCAATTCTTTCAGCCTTCCTTCATAGGTCATGGTCTCCAGACCTTTAATCATTCTTGTTGCTCTTCTCTGGACCCTTTCCAATTTCTCCACATCTTTCTTGAAATGCGGTGCCCAGAACTGGACACAATACTCCAGCTGAGGCCTAACCAGAGCAGAGTAGAGCGGAAGAATGACTTCACATGTCTTGCTAACAACACACCTGTTAATACATCCCAGAATCATGTTTGCTTTTTTTGCAACAGCATCACACTGTTGACTCATATTTAGCTTGTAGTCCACTATAACCCCTAGATCCCTTTCTGCCGTACTCCTTCCTAGACAGTCTCTTCCCATTCTGTATGTGTGAAACTGATTTTTTCTTCCTAAGTGGAGCACTTTGCATTTGTCTTTGTTAAACTTCATCCTGTTCAACTCAGACCATTTCTCCAATTTGTCCAGATCATTTTGAATTATGACCTTGTCCTCCAAAGCAGTTGCAATCCCTCCCAGTTTGGTATCATCCGCAAACTTAATAAGCGTACTTTCTATGCCAATATCTAAGTCGTTAATGAAGATATTGAACAGAGCCAGTCCCAAAACAGACCCCTGCGGAACCCCACTCATTATGCCTTTCCAGCAGGATTGGGAACCATTAATAACAACTCTCTGAGTACGGTTATCCAGCCAGTTATGCACTCACCTTATAGTAGCCCCATCTAAATTGTATTTGCCTAGTTTGTCGATAAGAATATCGTGCGAGACCGTATCAAATGCCTTACTAAAGTCTAGGTATACCACATCCACAGCTTCTCCCTTATCCACAAGACTCGTTATCCTATCGAAGAAAGCTATCAGATTGGTTTGACATGATTTGTTCTTTACAAATCCATGCTGGCTGTTCCCTATCACCTTACCACCTTCCAAGTGTTTGCAGATGATTTCCTTAATTACTTGCTCCATTATCTTCCCTGGCACAGAAGTTAAACTAATGGTCTGTAGTTTCCTGGGTTGTTTTTATTTCCCTTTTTATAGATGGGCACTATATTTGCCCTTTTCCAGTCTTCTGGAATCTCTCCCGTCTCCCATGATTTTCCAAAGATAATAGCTAGAGGCTCAGATACCTCCTCTATTAGCTCCTTGAGTATTCTAGGATGCATTTCATCAGGCCCTGGTGACTTGCAGGCATCTAACTTTTCTAAGTGATTTTTAACTTGTTCTTTTTTTATTTTATCTGCTAAACCTACCCCCTTCCCATTAGCATTCACTAGGATAGGCATTCCTTCAGACTTCTCGGTGAAGACCGAAACAAAGAAGTCATTAAGCATCTCTGCCATTTCCAAGTTTCCTGTTACTGTTTCTCCCTCTTCACTAAGCAGTGGGCCTACCCTGTCTTTGGTCTTCCTCTTGCTTCTAATGTATTGATAAAAAGTCTTCTTGTTCCCCTTTATTCCCTTAGCTAGTTTGAGCTCATTTTGTGCCTTTGCCTTTCTAATCTTGCCCCTGCATTCCTGTGTTGTTTGCCTATATTCATCCTTTGTAATCTGTCCTAGTTTCCATTTTTTATGACTCCTTTTTATTTTTTAGATCATGCAAGATCTCGTGGTTAAGCCAAGGTGGTCTTTTGCCACATTTTCTATCTTTCCTAGCCAGCGGAATAGCTTGCTTTTGGGCCCTTAATAGTGTCCCTTTGAAAAACTGCCAACTCTCCTCAGTTGTTTTTCCCCTCAGTCTTGATTCCCATGGGACCTTACCTATCAGCTCTCTGAGCTTACCAAAATCCGCCTTCCTGAAATCCATTGTCTCTATTTTGCTGTTCTCCCTTCTACCCTTCCTTAGAATTGCAAACTCTATGATTTCATGACCACTTTCACCCAAGCTGCCTTCTACTTTCAAATTCTCAACGAGTTCCTCCCTATTTGTTAAAATCAAGTCTAGAACAGCTTCCCCCCTAGTAGCTTTTTCAACCTTCTGAAATAAAAAGTTGTCTGCAATGCAGTCCAAGAATTTGTTGGATAGTCTGTGCCCCGCTGTGTTATTTTCCCAACATATATCCGGATAGTTGAAGTCCCCCATCACCACCAAATCTTGGGCTTTGGATGATTTTGTTAGTTGTTTAAAAAAAGCCTCATCCACCTCTTCTACCTGGTTAGGTGGCCTGTAGTAGACTCCTAGCATGACATCACCCTTGTTTTTTACCCCTTTTAGCCTAACCCAGAGACTCTCAACACTTCCATCTCCTATGTCCATCTCTACCTCAGTCCAAGTGTGTACACTTTTAATATATAAGGCAACACCTCTTCCCTTTCTCCCCTGTCTATCCTTCCTGAGCAAGCTGTATCCATCCACACTAACATTCCAATCATGTATATTATCCCACCAAGTTTCAGTGTTGCCAACAATGTCATAGTTGTATTTATTTATTAGCACTTCCAGTTCTTCCTGCTTATTACCCATACTTCTCGCATTTGTATATAGGCATCTAAGATACTGGTTTGATCTTTCCTCCCAGTTTTGTCCTGACCCTCCTTTTTCTCTGCCAATATAGCCCACACTCCCTCTCATTTCCGACCCATCTTCCAGGTCTCCATGTTCCCCACTTACCTGCGGGCTTTGCTCACCTGTCCCCGTCGAACCTAGTTTAAAGCCCTCCTCACTAGGTTAGCCAGTCTCTG